GTTAACAATACATCATGTACATTAAGATAAACTGCCTCTTGATAGCCTGTGAAGTGATGTTAAAACTATATCTTTGACAATGTACAGCATAACATCATCTTTCAGATTCTACAATTAATATAATTATAACACGATGAATTGTAACCAAGACAGCTGCGCCACATAGTGTAGCCTGGTCATCGTGTGACAGGTTCAAGAACCGTTAACTGAAATTGAAAAAACCGCCTTTCCACAGAGCGACCCCGGAGAGCGACGCTTCTGTTGACAGGGATTCTTTCGACTGTTTGAAATTCAGTCAATTAAAATGCATTTACAATGTGCTAGCATCCGGTGAATTAGCATTTTGTCATAAAAAGGCTTTTTGATCGAGAAAAATGCTCTCATTAAATTGACATCTCTATCAAAAATCACTGATGAACGATAAACACAATCAACACGAATTAAGTACAAAAGGTTTTTTCAGTCAAAAAAAGTTGTTGAGAGAACAGCGATTAGGTGATTGTCGTATAATGATAATAACAACTTTATTAGTCAGGGTGACGCGCGGTGGACGCGCGGAGATACGGATTTTATCTTCGAGTGTTGAAAAGATCTCTCACGAGTGAGCGTAGCAAATTATGTTGTAAAATACCTTTTTCTTTCTTCCACTACATAGAGAAACCTCGAATGTGTTATTTTCACTAGTGAAAATATCAATTTTACGTAATGGAGAAATATAGGTATAGATAATTATATGATAAAAATAAATAATATAAAATTATGTTTAAAAGACATTAAGTTAAAAAGGCTATGTATATTATCACTATTTACAGAGAATAAAATAGAGAGAGTATAATGTTTTAAGTATCTAGGTAAAAAGCTTAATCATATATGTCTCTTTTCATATATGTCTCTTTTCTGATCTTTTCAACACCTTGCCACACAAAGACACTAGTAATTTTTGCAATTAAAATGGCAGTTTGGGCGGAAACTTAAGCCGGGACACAATCATATACGAGTCATTGAAATACTAACAGGAGGAGCCGACAGGGTCTGTTCTTCTAAAAAAATTTGTACGAATTTTTTTCTGGGAGAGAAATTTTGAGCTACATTGTTGACAATCTCACAAGCAAATGTGGTGCCCTTTCTTCTTTAAAATAATTTTGTTCCTGCCAAACCGATGCAAACGTTTTAAAGGTCAAAAAGGCTTATATAGCGTTTTTATGGTCAACACCGGCTTTTTTTTTAGCCGGTTAGGAAATTCGTATTTTCCTTGCAAAAATTCTTAGAAAGTATTTCTTGCCTGTTGTGTTCTTTTTTCCTGAATTTCTCGCTGGCAACCAGTTGTGACTTACAGCGCTGGAACATAAGAACAGATTTATTTCCCACAGAAACCCGTCGGCACCTCCTAAAATAACGTCAAAACCTAAGTTGTTTCTGTTTTAGCCTTACCTCAGTAGTACTAGTATTGTCCTATTGATCAGATAACTAAAAAAACACACAGAATATGTTAACTCATGAAATCACATGTACAAGTTTTCTATTATTACAAACCTGCGTGCAGTTGGCTAAGTAGAGATGATCTCTTGAGCTAGCCAAGCAGCAGTAGACTTGAACATTAAAATATACGAATATATTCAACCAATCAAAGACCTCGTACTATATGATCCAGTACCAAACTTTGTACTTTTAGCGTTTATTTCAAACAAAGAGTTTGCACTGTACAGCTGTGCTTGAAACGATTGTCCACCTAAAGACATTTCCAATGCTAGAAATGTCATGTGTTCTGATAGAACTCAGTTTCCGCGCGTACATCAGGTACATTATTTATCGATCAATAGCATTAAAAATWCCTCCTTCTTTCTCCCCTTAAACACACGGCTTGACATTGTAGCTACGAAATTTAATAACTAATGAGTCTCTTCTAAAATTCCCATGTATGGAGGGGTGAGGATGATCATCGTATCTTTAAGGGATAAAAATCAGGGATCTGATATCTTTTAGCGTTAACATATTTCATTTGTTCCTCTTTGTGACATCGATAGATCAGAGAATTTAGAAATGCTTTTATAAACGTCASATTGATAGTATTCGATGTTGAGGTCGCTAGAATTGTTTTAAAAAGTGCTAAAAAATATGAATTTTTCGATTTTTTAGTTGGTATCTTTAAGGTTTAAAATATTATGATATCAGACCCTTTCTCGTAAGAGCCTGGTATCTTTTAGAGGTATTTTTTGAAATTTCCGATGATCATCCCATCCGAAATACCTACCTTCCTACCCTCCAGGGGATATTGGCACTCTTTGACATTGTATATGACAAAATCTATTTCAGTATCTACCCGGATCTCCCCTGTTCGAATTTTCCGACTTGTATGTCACAAAGAGAAGCAACACTGAAACAGGGGGGGGGGGGGGGGGGGGCTGGTTTTTTAACCACGGTATATTTGTTATGGAGTGTACGGAATAACATAGCATTTTGCTCCAAAATATTAAGCAATATGAACGAAACAAAGGACTTCGAACTTAATAATCCAATCAAATACCTTCTAGCTTCTTTGAGTGAGCCAATGAAATACCTCTGTACTGTTTGAACCAATCAGATACCGCACTTTGTATGAGCCAATGAAATGCCTTACTTTGCGTAAACCAATCAAACACCTCATTGAGACAATTATCCCCGAGGTAATAATGTATTCTTTTATTTCCCCGGAGCCTCGTATACAATTGCCCTATTTCATTATGACGTCACAGTATGTTTACATCGGAACACGATGCTCAAAAACAGTGGAAATTTGGACYCATTTATATTGTCTACTAAAGTAGAACCTCAATGAATCACGTTTTGATWTAYATCATGTATAAATGATTGTYCATGTACATTTKMTTTGATATGCAGTCACTCTGATCCCTTCTGGTGACCATAATCCTTAGCGTTAAAACAATAGAATGTTTTGATGTGAYGTCATAATGAAATAGGGCAATTCTTTTGTGTATGGTCAATGAACAATAATATTGTAATGTCGGCTACTGTTTGATMAAAAAACGACCAGCAAACCTCTGATAATCGATAAACCCAAAGCGATTAAATTGAACAAAATTAGTGACATTAACTTTCTGTTCAACAGTTGCTCGTCAGAATATCATTTCAGTATCCCATCTCACAGGGAAAAATCGTATAAGAACAGTTGTTTAGAAGAACAGAAGAAATCCAAGGCTCCTACATGACGCCCATTAGCCATGACTTGACCGGTTTGGTTTCTGTGGTCACATTACTAATAGGAATTTAGTTGAATGAAGACTTCCTTCTACCAGCTGTGGGCTGGAGTTGCTCTGAGTCCTTTACGGGTCATCTTGAGATCAATTGGTGTATTTTTTACRTTAAAGGTTTGGCAAAAGATTGAAGACACCTGCCTTGCAAGGCAACAGGGATGGATTGATCCGCGAGCTCGGCAATGACAACTTCATACATTTCGGTTAAACAGGAACACAAGGTAATTTATTGTGGTTTCAAACACGCCAGAATATATTTTCAAATTTCAACAGGAAAAAAAATCGAATTTTGAAGTCATAGCAATGACTCAAGGACATTTTTTCACATTGTATGTTCGTTCTCTTCTGAAAACATGATGTTAGGATAAAAAAGGTTATAATTTGACCTCATGTATGCCAGAGTGTTGCGTCCTAGAACCCTTTCGTTCTGATATCATCAATGAATTGCATAAKTACAAATCGGAAAAACGCATTAAAAAAAATGTTGGAGAAAATAATACACGAACAACTACTGGTATGAGAAAATAATGAGTAGAAATGCTAAATTTGATCGGTTATTTTTATATTAAACTATTCATCAATAAACGTGGAGATCTTCGGTGTAATGTCCATTAGCTCTGAAAACCCCTTTAGAGGTAGTTTTTCGTYTTACAAGATTAATCAATGTCTTTTGACAATCTTCACGCCTTCTCGAGGTAGTACATCGATTCCCTGAAAYCACAGTACGCGATGTGTTACTGCGATTTTCCGTTTTTTGCGAACTCTAGCACTGCGAACGTTAACGGTCATTTGTTTTTGTTTTTTTTTTTGTTCCCGTCAATCAAATTTCCGAAGTAAACGAACTGTTTTCGTGACCCCTCCCACAAAACCGAATCAAGTCCGAAAGTCCGCCATGTTGTTTTTGTCTTGCGGGTGAATTAGAAAAWGATCCCTCGTRAGTTTAGCTCTGATCTTCGATGGAGAATWGTTTTCATGCATGTCGASCACATTCCCCCAAAAAGTAATGTGACAAGTACGGTCTGTTGGAAAGAAATTTGTGCAAAAAATCTTGAAGATGCACAGGGAAACTGGAGATGTTCGAGATGACGGGCTTTCGGGCTTGGTTCGGTTATGTGGGAGGAGTCACGAAAACAGTTCGTTTACTTCGGAAATTTTGATTGACGGGAGCAAAAACAGCAAATGACCGTTAAAGTTCGCAGTGCTCGGAGTTCGCACAAAACGAAAAACCGCAGTAAGTTTAAATATGAAAATTTTGATACAATTTAATAAATTTCATTAATTGATGAAAATAAATTAATTTAAGTGACTTCACCCTTTAAACAATGCAAGTTTACCTCTTTTCCATGAGAAAATTTATTAGCTCGTTCCCATTCTACCATGGCCGCGGGCCTGTAGTTMGTAATGTACGCTCTTCGATATGAATCAGTTACATTCCCACGTGTATAGTGTAGAGTTCGTCCTRAGTGAAATGTACACGAACCGGCCGGGATGGGCTGGGCAATACCTTCATCCTATAAGACACAAGGGACTGTGTTATATTATGTTCCTGATAATAGTCTCCTTCACGGTTCTCTGCGCCATCTTGAAAGGTAGCCGTGCCTTTACATCGAAGCGAGACAACCATTGAGCGTGCAATGATAGATACCTGTGAATAATTGTCTGTAGTTGTGAAGGTTCCTATCATTTTACGCTCAACGGTCGTTTCGCTTCGATACAAAGGCACGGTTACCTTTCAAGATGGCACAGGTAACCGCAAAGAAGACAATATAAAAAGATACTATCATGAGCTGATAACTTTTAAGAAATTAATCTCTAATAATTACAACCGGTGAGCTCCCATAATTCCTAGGGGTCAGTTCCCATAATTCTTAGTGGTAAACAAGAGATTTTCAATAATGATGCACTCGTTCACTGCGCATGCATGCATGTAAGCATACCTCTGAACAGTCGCACTGTTGTACATGAGATCCTTGAGCAGCAGACCGATGTTGTCTCAAAGGCAGTTTATGGGATCCAGGAACGAACCACATRCAGCCATTGTCGACCGTAGCGTTGTCCATGGCAACCTTTTGAAATAAAGTGCTGTTTAGAATGGGATCTGATAATATGTCACCTCTTGTACCTTGTGGTATTTTGATCTGAATTACAAGTTTTCTTACTGTTTGAWTGTACTTTTATCGTAAAACCAGAGAAAAGTCAATGTGCAGCGATGCTATTTCATCGATATCACTGTAGCCTCCTTTGCAGACGTTATTAGTATCGGTCATACTCAACAAATTGTACTCCAGATTGAAAAACCTCCAGAGTGAAGAAGAGAGGGAACTTATAACCGATACTAATAACGTCTGCAAAGGAGGCTATATCACTGAAGTATTTTGCAAATGTCTTTCTAACACTGATTGCAATGTGCTTTGCCGCTTTTATCACAATAAGGCTTTATACCACTATCGGTGGATTACTGATGATTTATGGAAACGAGACCTCAAAAGCCTTCCATCTAGAAATCACTACAAAGATCGCATGTACTGTATGTAGTGTCCGAAAGTTTGAAATATTTATTGGTGTTATTTATACTGTTGCAAGACAACCATCGAAGTTTACTACGGAGGCTGGCCTTCGAGACTTCGTCCCCATCGCCCTGGTCGGCCACAGTCGTGAATGGTAACTCTTGAACTGGTGCACAGCGTTGTGGAGTCATCAGGATGCTTAACTTATATTTAAGTGACTACATACAGATGTTGCATCGTTATTAAAATATTTTATGTTTACTTGTTTTGACGGTGGTAAGTTCGTTAAGATCGGGTAAGAGAGTCATTGCTTTGAATTTGCTATGCTGAGAAAAGGCAGTTTGATTTGTTAGTTACTCAATTCCTTACCCAACACGAAGCAGCTCTTTTATCAGGCATGTTAGGCCAGTAGGCTTCATCTTGATGCCATGGTGTCGTGGTGGAGGTCTTTGGAGCCTATGATGAAAAAAGTGCGACCACTAAATTTGCCATCATGCTTCAATCTTTTTTAGAAAGTGGAGACACAGTGTATTCCCTATCGTCATGGAAACAGTTTGTTACCATGGTGATAACATCAAATGATCACGTGTTTACCTTAGCAATAAGCATGTCGAAATCAAATACAGCATCAGAACCAACGATAATATGATTAACAGCACGGACTCTTTCATGCAGTGGACCCTGGACAAAGACACGTGAGTAAGACAAGGGTTTCTATTAATTTTATTGTAATCTTGACCGTATTGTGCTAATAGAGAGATCTAGATTCACGTTTACGGCGAGCGCCAATTACGTCAGAATGGATTTTTATCACATTCTTGGCTTATGATGCCCTTGTGTCCTCATGACTCACCTCAAGCAACGACGGGATGTAGATAYTCGGCCACATTATCTGACAAATGTTTTCAACTTTTTGACTTTTACGAGACACTAAAAACAAGCAAGAAAATGGTTTCTAAAAATCATACAATTTTCATCATTTCACGCTGTCTTTTAGATTTAACAGTGACATTTAGACTCAGCTTATAGTGAACTGGAGGGGAAATATTAGACATCACAGGCGAGGTTTCGCAGGGAATTACTCTCCTCTTCCCCCACGGGCTGTTTTGGTAGTACTTACCATGACCCCCAAGGTCATGTCTATGTGCATCTGTGTCAATATCGCCATTCATAAGCTTCATGTAGACGTCTTTATCGATTTTCAATAAAAAAATAATAATAAGAAAAAAGATTGCCAGTTCGATCGTCTAAGTAGAGGTGTGGGACTGAAAACGAACAAAAACCAACAACAATAACAATAATAACAGCAACCACAGCAGCAATGACAATAACATCAACATCAGCAGCAGTAGCAGAAACATCAACATCAACAGCATCAATATCAACAACATCAACAACAACAACAACATCAAAAACAACAAAACAGAAATACCTCTGTAGATATTGACAAATTCTTCATTCAACAGTTTGTGAACAACCTGTACAATAAAAAAAGTAAATCGTATTTGCCTTGAAGACTTGATAATTCTATGGAACAGAATACCAAGAAACAACACAGAATTTAAGAGAACGACAGCAAGGAGGAAAATGGTGGATCGACAAGCTTAAATCACTGAAAACAGTAAGGAAACATCCTCGCCGAATAATCAGCAACACCTGAATGCTTCAATTGAATTGAACAATTTGACTTTAAGATATTTTGGTTTAGTTACCCTGCACAAACTGCAGAAGAGGCTCCTTGGTAACAATCGATAACCTTCTTTTATTCCCCCGGAGCCTCGTCTCCAATCCTTTTGTGCATGGTCACAGAAAGAAAATATCTAAAGTCGGCTATTGTTACCGACGTTTCTGATCACTCTTCTTTAAAATTTCCAAATTCATGGTCCCAAATCAAACCACATCTTGAATGGCGACCTCTACTATGATCTGATATCGCTTACCATGACACATGCATGAGAATAAGTCTACAAAATCTCATTCGATTGTTTGTAAATGTTCAGCTTACCAGATATCCATCCCTATCAAAGCTTTCTTTCCATGTTTCAGTAGGCTGTGCTTTCAACCAGTCGTCCAAAGATTCATATTCAGGCCACTGAATTGTGTACTTGTCGGACATCTTGCGTGACTGTAACACAATGTCACTTGGTCTCGTGCAAGTCACTGGGTCTCACTGGGTCTGCAATATAAGGGTTGAAATATAAAAGCAACATTAACGAGTTCTAGATAAATGCACAATTGAATTTCCAAACTAAGGYTTGACAAGTACTTCTGAACTTTAATAACTTTAATAACTTTAATACAGAGGCTTCTATCGGCCTTCTGAACAGCGGCTACCAAAGGCAAGCATCAGTATATCGATGTCTTTGAACATTTTTAGGTTTCATGCGATATAACCTACCTGATCTTTCAGTACTGCCTTAACGTGCTTGTACCTTTATTGATAGGCTGTCCCCTTAGAGAGAAGAAACTAACCCTATACACACTATACACGTTATCCAGAAGTTCCCTAATACACTCCTCGCAGCTGAGTTACGTTTCGGTCACGCGTCGCGCAACGCTCCCTCTTATATATCAGACCGAGAGTCACGCTCAGCTTTACTCGACTTCAAAGATGATATGTTTATTTCCGTGGTTATTAACATTGATGGTGTTAMACGGCAAATGGCTGACKCAAAGATATATTTTATTTTTCCWTATGCATTTTTTAATGTCCTTTTTTAAAGGGACATGTTCCACTAGCATGCAATRCGGTCGTGTTTTAGATTTTTCATATAAGGAGGAATGTGCTACGTTCACTAATTTTTTTACTAATGAATTAATGTGCAGTTCAAAATTCTAATTGTTTATTCACGCACCGCAATATTCTTTTCTGGAGGCTTCCCGCAATTTTTACAAGTTCGCAATTAAGTTAAAAGGAAAAGAGCTTATCAACTATTAATATCGATGGAACACCAGAGATTTTCTCCTGTTGACATCTTGATGTCGTTCACATTCAGCCAAACTGTATATTTGGGCAGTATGTTTGTCTTCTTCAACTGCCTTTCAGATACCTTTTCGTAGGTAGCGTTATGTAAGCGGACATTTTTCGCTCACACCTRTTTTATGTGACTTTAATGCACGTTTTTCCCAAAATTAACATTTCCCTAGTCTCCTCGCAGCCGTTCTTAGTGGCGGGCTCCCCGCCACTAAGAACGGCTGCGAGGAGACTACCTTTTCCCTTCAATCCTCTGAAACTATTGCAACAAAAATTGTGGGGAAAAATTATCAAGTGTGAATCGGGATTAAAACACTTCTGATATTAATTCTTGTATTCACTGTAAATGTACATTTTTGCTGGGGGAAAAAATGTTGGTGCTGGTTCATGTAAGTCCATATTTTCTGATACTGTTTTCTAAAAAATTAACCAACAAATTCAAAGTGGAATGTAAAAGGGAATCAGGTATTTCGAGTTTCGACGTGCAATTTGCAATAAACGTGAAAAAAAGATGTTATTTAATTGGCATTTTGAGGAAAATGAAAGGAAGAAAATCTTTTWAATTGTGAGCGCTGCTCACATTTGTTGAAAATCTATTCGCAATTTTTTCTTTCCATTTATTACACGTAYCCTGCTATGCAGGGGGTACGTGTAGTAAAATGCTGACACTTTCTTGTTTTTTTTTTTTTTACAATGTCGAAAGTTTGGCTTCGGTACATCTTCGTAGCCAATCACATTGTGAATTATATATCCGGTAGCCAATCACATTACGTTGTGTATTCCGAACGCTGTAGCCTGTCGATAATCCCGTTCGCAACATTTCCAACTCGTTCTGCACAATGTTTTATCCGCCATTTTGATGAATATTGTCTCTACTAACGAATATGGAACAGAACATGAAGGTTTACGACCAAAATCTGGAACTCATTACTTGTCTGGGTGTTCGGACCAAGGGTATGTTGAATTGTGATGACGAGGAGATCTCACTACAGAGATCAACACGCTTACTACTCGTGAAGCAACGGCAACGATATAGTGATTGGGTTCCAATGATTGAATATCAATACAACTCTTTAGAAAATGCTTATTAATTCCATGGCTATTCAAACATCTGCAATAGATATGTCGAGTTTTAATGTAGATGTGCAAAAATATTGTGTTACTATCATATCAAAAGTTAATAAAGCGTCACGTTGTAACCAAATCATGCCTAGTTATATATCTCCGGGTATATCTGACCTTAAAATTATACTGCAGAATCACAAAGGCAGTTACAGCTGAAATTTTAAGAGCCACCACATATAAGCTTATCGCAAAAATCACATATATCTTGGCAAGGCTCGATGGATCAAATCATTTMTTTATTCTGTATCAGTAAGGTTTTAATAAGGCCTCATTTACTAATGATCTCACAACATCATGCACAACAAAGGGTACGTGTCAACCCTGCATACAGGGTCTAGTTTGTAATTTGAAAGGAAAACAGCTCTCTCGAAATTCAACGTACAATTTGTCAAAAAAAGACAAACAGTTTTCGTGTCTTTTATAAACAAAAAGTAACTTTTAATTCGAAAATCTTTTGTGCGCGCGGTCCATCGTCAGAGCGTGTACATTTTGTARCGACCATGCTTTTTAACGTTTTAATGGTACTCTCACACAAAAAAACCTTTACAATATAATCGTTAGCTATAAGTGACTATAGTTAATTTAACTGAGYGAATACATGTCAAAAGATGTTGCGAGAATCAAGTTGTTTTTTTGATAAGTCTTGTTTGAAAAAAGTTAATATAAAGCTCCCATCCATGCAAGAGAACGCGTACTACCAAATAACTGTTAGTGAGTTCCTCTATCTATTTTTTGTGTTTCTTCTATATTGCATTCGCCCGGCATTAATGCCTGCTAATGACCAGCAATTTGTTTTCTAAATAAAACAAATAAATGTACTTATTTATTTATTAATTCATTCACATATTTGTTTATTAATTTATGTTATGAATTTGTATATAGTTCTAACACCACTGAAAAAGAGAAAGTAATGCACTACTCACAGAAAAAATCAATTTGTCTCACGTCTTGATTTGAGTTACTGAAGTTGTTATATATSAATAACATTTTCTGGATTTTATCGGACGTTCTATTAATAAATGGCTTAATTTTAAAAGAGATAGATGAAGTTGAATGTTTACCAGCAAAAATTATACCCAAATTTTTCACAAGAATAATTTTAAAAATCCAAATTTTAAAGAAGCATTTTTAGGCAATAGAACTTCGACAGAGAAAGAGTATTTTTATAGAGTTCTTGCTCCGCTACCTGGCCTATAGAGAAAAAAACATGCACCTAGGCTTAAATACAAAAATCACAAGCTTTTTGGGAGCATTACTTGGTTTAAATCAATTTTACCGAATTTTATTGTGATGATAAAATTAAAAAAACAAATGGAATAACAACGTCAAACGACTGGACATGGTTTCCTGTAAAAGTACTTTAAAATTAAATGAACTCATTAAATCTTCAAAATGGAGTTTGTCTTTGTCTTTTTTTTATATGGAAGATTGTTTTTAAGATAAAAGTAACTGACACGATTTTGAATCGTTTGAGGTTCATTTCTATTTATGTGGCGTTGTTTTGACATTTCTCCTGCCATACAGCAATCCCCAATTATACTGCTGAAAGTTCCCAATGTCCAAGCAAAATGTCCGTGCATCAGTGGCATTAGTGTAGAAAATAGCCTAATAATTGCTTTTAGTAAGCATTGTTATACAATTTACACAAAAATGCTTCAGTCAAGACTTCTGAACTAAATCAGATTGATTTATATCTTCATTCAGTCAGTCGTATCGATCAGTGAAGCACTTTCCACTTTCATTCTCTTTTACTCTCCTTTCATTATAGTCACAGCGATCGAGGCCCTGAACGGTAAAGATGTGACGAGCAATTTTCAGTTCATCGCCTCACCTATCTCTGTAACATTTATACATCTCCAGTCTCTCATCAACCCAATCATTATGTCACTGCGTCTGTCCTACATTCGCCAAGGTATTAAGAACAAGGTACATAGCTTTGTACAGGGACCTGATTAAAGTACATTTTCACGATAAGTCTCTCTCTAATGCTGGGTTAGAGTTCTGTCCGTCTCCATGTCTCTCATTACCGACTCAATTCTCATACCACTGTTTGCTAAGACTGCTATTTATTTCGCCGACGACGCTCGCTAGCCCGGCTCCATAAGCAGAAGAATCGGATCGCTTGGGACGTCTGCTTACGGAGGCAACTTATCCATAACCGAAGTTGAAATAATAAGATTTTAACGAAAAAAAATTATTCAAAAATTGTTTATTAAAATTCTAATTGTTTTAAAAGCAATTATAATCTGATTCATCGTTCCGAATTCGTCTATGCAATCTGCAATCTCCGAGTTATGTTGCCATTGGCAGCTTGATTTTAGTATTTTAAGATGGGGAGAAAAATCATTATTTAACGAGCGGTGACTTTTGTCCTATTTCAAATGATCACTTTCTGACATACTAGGAGCTATTGCACTTTATACAACTTTTCAGTAAAATCAGACGTTTTGATTGGTTGGCTTTCGTGTGTTATCAAAGTATAGATACACGGATTACGTCAAAACTAATTGTTTGTTGTATAAAACAGATAGATCTTATTTTTCCGTGTGTGTATACTCTAATAGATACACAGATGACGTCAAAATGTAGTGAGAACAAAAGTTTTTGTTCTCACTACATTTTGACGTCATCTGTGTATCTATTAGAGTACACACGCACGGAAAATTGAGATCTATTTGTTAAATATATAATAAAATATAATAAAATGAAAATTAAAGCATCCATATAAATGACCCATAAATGGGTCGCGAACTACATTCTAGATCTCACGAGTTACAACACTAAATTGAAATCTTCATCGCTTTTTCTTTTTAAGACTTTTAAAACATCTTAAGAGATCGACTCGGTGTGACAAAAAACCACGATACTTAAAAACCTTTTCGATACGTAAWTTTTTTTTTGATACATAACTTGACGATCTTTAGAGCGTGAGGTCGGGCTACCTATTTTCGAGAATTGAGAAAGACATGATATTGCATGGTTGCACGGGTACGCGAACGAGTGAAAGATTTTCAACGCGATAAGATAAATTTCGTATCTCCAAGCGACCATGTGATATTCTGTCTATCGATGACATGATTATGTATGAGTGTAAATTATGGCGTAGAATACATTTTCTTAATTCTAATATATAGTGAAGCAAGAATGCKTTACTATCACCTAGTCTTTTTTATTAGTTTCTTGTTCTTTTAACTTGAGTTACTTTGTTTATAATGAATTAATGTCCAATTCAAAATTCGAATTGTTTATTCACGCGCACCGCGATATTTTTTTCTCGTGGCTTGCCGCAACGACGTCAAAACACTCTGAAATATCGAGCTAGGAGTAACTAATATCCAGTCTTTCTCAATTTCACAATTTTTCCAATTTCACAAGTTAAAAGGAAAAGTGCTTGTCAAATTTATATCGATAGAACRCCAGAAATTTTCTCCTGTTGACATCTTGATATCGTTCACATGCAGCCAACAGTTTATTTGGGAAATATATTTTTACCTTTTCAACACAGATGCCTTTTCGTAGCGTTATGAGAGCGGACATTGCTCGCTCCCACCTCTTTTATGTTACTTTAACGCACGTTTTTCCCAAAGATTAACCTTTTTCCTTCCATCTTCTGAAAAATTGCAACAAAAATTGCGGAAAAAAATCATCAAGTTTGAACCGGCCTTCTGATATTAATTCTTTTAACTATTGTAAATGTACATTTTTTTCTGGGGGAAGAAAAAGTTTGTTGCTGGTTCATGTAAGTCCATATTTTCTGATAATGTTTTCTAAAAAATCACCACCAAATCCAATTTGTAATTTGAAAGGAAAACAGCTCTCTCGACGTACAATTTTTCAAAAAAGACAAACAGTATTCGTGTCTTTTTTAGTAAAAACTAACAAACCAAAACTAGCTTTGAGCTTTTTAAAATTCGAAAATCTTTTGTGCGTGCGTTTCATCGTCGGAGAGTGTTCCTTTTCCTCCTTTTTTCAACGTTTTTTCATGGTATTGTCACAAAAARACTTTATAATCGTCGTCATTGTCCTAATAAGCCTAAAGACGGAAGTAGCTCAGTTAGTAGTGATTATGACTTAATTTAACTGAGCGAAAGATGTTGTTTTTTGATAACGGCTTGTTCAAAAAACGTTACAAGTRATACAAAGCTTCCATCCATACAAAAGAACGCGTACTGACAAATCAGTTTTTCCTATCTCTATTTTTTGTGTTTCTTCAAATGTATTCGCCCGACATTTGGATTTTTCCCCAATTTTGTTTGTTTTTTCAATATTTCGCTGACCTCTTTGAACGCTGTTTCATTAGCTCATCAACGGGCAAACGAGCCGCAAAGGGACGAGAGTTTCCAAGGAGCGAGTAAGGTACAATAATGCTTTCACATGAAATAACAACAACTTTTCTCTTGAATCAGAAAGCCGTGTTTCTATGCTCTCATAAACACAGGTTTTTGCATATTTCAGGTYATCAATTCGAAAACCCAAATCTTAGAAATCATGGAATTACAAAACTATCAGTTTAATTGCCCAAATTAGAAATGCTTACTGTAATAATTGTGTAGCAGCTTTGGCAGCTGCTTATCAATACTGCTAAATTTCTAAGGGACAATCATGCACAAATTGCTTTTTKCTTATAGAAATCTGTTTTAAGCCAAGYACGTTTCCTCTCCTTCTMCTCAGTAAAAGATCATTTAATATTTTTAAAACCTGCTAATTTTTGTAATATTATTTTATTACTTGATATGTTTTTGCAAAAAAAAAATGCAATATTTATGCCTGATAATGAGCTAAAATCAGTTTTCTTAACAAGTTGCTTTACTWTAATGTATAAATGTACTTATTTATTCATTTATTTTTTTATTTATTCACATATAAAAGATAGAGTACAAACATTAAATGTGTGCAACACTTTCCACTATTTACTACAAAATAGGGTTAATTAAACAATAAAAAAAAACAATAGAATTAGCATAATTTAGCAGTATTTAGTGGTATTTATGTTGCACAGTTTTAGTATTTGTACTCTATTACATGGGCTCGCGGAGATACGGATTTTATCCTCGAGTGTTGAAAGTATAGTCTAAAACACGAGTGAGTGTAGCGAAAAAAATCCGTATCTCAAAGCGACCATGTAATATTCTGTTTATCATATAATTACGTATGAAAGCAAATTATGTCGTAAAATACCTTTTTTCTTACATCCACTATATAGTGAACCTCGAATGTGCTATTTTTCAGTATCTCTTTCTTTTCACTATCAGYATCTCACTAGTGAAAATATCAACTATAATATAGGTATTATGAAATAGAGGTATTTCATAATAGTAGTTATATGATAAATTTGTTTATTAATTTATATTATGAATTTGTAATTTTAACACTACTGAAAAAGAGAAAGTAATGCAAAAGCAAAAACAATTAATGTCACGGTGCTATTTGAACTGCACGTAATTTCTTGTTAAATCGCGGTTGTTATATAACTATAACTTTCTTTTATAACTATAAAGTTTATCGGACGTTCTCTTAATCGCGTCCTTTGAAGAGATGTATGAAGTTGAATGTTTACCAGCAAATGCACACAAATATTTTAAAAAGAACAATTATAAAAAATTCAAAGAAGCATATTTTAGGCGAGAGAACCTCGACAGAAAAAGAGTATTTCGATGATCTGGAGAAAAAAAACACGTCTTAGTTTTAATTTTAAAGCCAAACACGAAAATCTGACAAGCTTTTTCTGGAATATTAATTGGTTTAAATCAATTTTATTGAATTTTATTGTGATGGTAAATTATAACAATGGAATACCACCGTCAAACGACTGGACATGATCCGCTGGTTTCCTGTAAAAGTACTTTAAATAAACTCTTAAATCTTCAAAATAGAGGTTGTYTTTGACTGTTTTTATGCGGAAGATTGTTTTTAAGATGAAAATAAGTGAACATCATTTTAAATCGTTTGAGGTTCATTTCTGTAGGTGGTGTTATATTTAACATTTCTGGCTCGCCATATAGGCAATCCCCAATTATATTTTCTTTCCCAATGTCCAAGCAAAATGTCCGTGAATCAGTCACTGTGGCATTAGTGTAGAAAATAGCCTAATAATTGATTTTAGTAACTATTGTTATACAAAAGCAACCCGCTACCTGGCCTATAGAGAAAAAAACATGCACCTAGGCTTAAATACAAAAATCACAAGCTTTTTGGGAGCATTACCTGGTTTAAATCAATTTTACCGAATTTTGTGATGAAAAAAAAAAAATAATAATAATGGAATAACAACGTCAAACGACTGGACATGCTTTCCTGTAAAAGTACTTTAAAATTAAATGAACTCATTAAATCTTCAAAATGGAGTTTGTCTTTGTCTGTTTTTTATATGGAAGATTGTTTTTAAGATAAAAGTAACTGACATGATTTTGAATCGTTTGAGGTTCATTTCTATTTATGTGGTGTTGTTTTGACATTTCTCCTGCCATACAGCAATCCCAAATTATACTGCTGAAAGTTCCCAATGTCCAAGCAAAATGTCCGTGCATCAGTGGCATTAGTGTAGAAAGTAACCYAATAATTGCTTTTAGTAACTATTGTTATACAAATTACACAAAAATGCTTCAGTTAAGACTTCTGAACTAAATCAGATTGATTTATATCTTCATTCAGTCAGTCGTATCGATCAGTGAAGCACTTTCCACTGTTAAAGCAAATCATCACAAGTTCTTGCTTGTTATGGCGAATAACTCTTCTAGTGTCATGATTCCTACTACTACTATACCCGATGTTTGCTTTTTGTCCGTACCAGAGTTTGACCCTCATAACATGAACCGTCCAGATTCAGTTCACCCGACTTGGACTTTTCTTGCTACTGTCAATGGTCTTGCTGCCCTACCGACAATCGTCGTTAACGCCCTTGTCATATGGGCTGTGGTTGGGAATGAGAATCTTCGATCCTCTGCTTTCAACCTTGTACTTGCCTCTTTGGCAGTGACTGATTTGTTGACAGGATTGCTGGTCGAACCAATGTATTGTCTCTTTCTTGGATGTCTTGTGAACACTTGTCTAATACCTGACTGTACATTCACTGCGTATCTTTTGTCGGTGTATGTTTGCGCTGGTATGACAATCGTCAGTTTTTCAATCGCGAGTGTTGAGCGGTACTTAGCCATAGAACACCCAAACTTTTATCTCCAGAACATTACAGGAAAAAAACTTGGTATAACTACGGTAATTTCCTGGATAATAACGGTGGGATTTTTGTTCAGTATTGGCTCTTTACTGAATCAAAGCAATCCTAATTTATCCAAAGTTCCAGCAGCTATAGTCGCGGGTATTCTAGGAGTGATAACTTTGTTCTGCTCAACTAAAGTTCAAATGACAGCTTATCGTCAAAGTAGAACCATCGCCCTGCAGCAAGAATCAGTTCAACAACCCGAYGAACAGCAGCAACAAGAACAACGACTCCAGGAATACAAGCGAGTGTTCACGATGTCCATGTTAGTGGTTTTGTCCATTCTCTTTTATTCTCCTTTCATTATAATTACAGTGATCGATGCTCTGGACGGTAAAGATGTGACGAGCGATTTTGGGTACATCTCCGCGCCTATCTCTATAACATTTATACATCTCCAGTCTCTCATCAACCCAATCATCATGTCACTGCGTCTGTCCTACATTCGCCAAGGTATTAAGAACAAGGTTCATAGCCTTGTACAAGGAACTGATTAAAGTACATTTTCACGATAAGTCTCATCTAATGCTCAGTTCTGTCCATCTGCATGTCTCTCATTACTTAATCCTCATACCACCACGTTTGTTGGACATTCCATCCAAGGCACCCAAAAAATTGTCAAATAACTGAGCAGATTCAGTAATCATTATTTCAGCAAGTTCTTAGCAGATCTTAGACAAGCCATTTTCCTTTTCCTTCCTGCAACAGATAATATAAATTCGCTCACACTCGAAGGAGACGTCAGACACGTATTAAGCGACTAATATTCAGGACTACAAACTTTAGATGAACTCAATGAACTCAGTTGCTTCGATGAACGTCAAGGAAGCATGTGAGTAGTATTTTACTTGATCTGACATAATATGCTTGCTTACTTGGCACAACAATGAGACACATTGCACTTATTGATACATTGAACTCTAAGACAACAAACTATTATTAAACTATTATTAAACTATTATTAGCATTAGCAACAGTCGACGTGTTCCTGGGAGAAATATATCTGTTCTTATGTCCCAGCCAGCTGTAAGTCACAGCTGGTTTCCAGCGAGAAATTCAGAAAAAAATATCTCCAGGCAAGGAATACTTTCTAAGAATTTTTGCCAGGAAAATAAAAATTTCCTAACTGAAAAAAAAAATTTAAAGCCGTTTTTGACCGCAAAAACGTTATATAAGTCTTAAAAACGTTTGCCAGGAGCAAAATTATTTTAAAGAAGGAAGGGAGCCACATTTTCTTGTCAGATTGTCAACAAGCATTGTAGCTCAAAATTCCTTTCCCAGGAAGCGATTCGTACAAGAACAGCTATTTAAAGGAACAGGCCCCGTCGGCTCATCCTGTAGCTCATGAACTTAGTCAGCTCAGATGCGGCGGACACCAATWAGAAATGTTTGTTGGGCACTCCAACAACTAAAAGGAATGAAAAAATGTAAATAATTTTATCAAGGAATCTGAATATTCTTTTCGTAAAGCCGAACCATCTAGCAGCCTTTTAAATAAGTCCTTTTAAAAATCAAATTCGCCGTATTAACTTACAAGTAGATTAACTTACAACTTAATACAATAACTTGATAAAAGGTCATAGAAATGTTAAAAAATCAAGACTGACTGTATGTTTGGCAGTGAAAAACGAGTTTTACGCTCCTATAAGCCCAAATGTATTTATGAAATGTAAATTAGCAATCGAGGTCTGGTATATCAATAGTTAATAGCAAATTCTTAGAAAGAGATCAAGTTAAAAGAAAAAGTGCTTATCAACTATTAATGTAGATAGAACACCAGGGATTTTCTCCTGTTGACATCTTAATATCGTTCACATGCAGCCAATAGTATATTTGGGCGATATATTTGGCCTCTTCAACACAGATGCCTTTTCGTAGGTAGCGTTATGTAAGCGGATATTGTTYGCTCACACCTGTTTTATGAAACTTTAACCTTTTTCCTTCCATTTTCATACATCAAATTATCATAATAAATCTGATTTTCTTTCCTCTCAGAAAAAAATCATATTCTAATTTTAGTTTTAATTTCATATTTTCTTTTAATTTTTTATCATATTTAACATTTTGTCCTGTCAAAGTTTTGAACATTTTAAAAAGCTTAAAGCAAAAGCAGTTTGCTTAGAGGTTTGTTATAAGTTTCTTGTAAAAACAAAGCCAAAAATTGTACCAAAATAATTTCCACTAAAATCATCTCGATAAAAAACCCCGCTATTTGATACAATTTAATGAATATATATTCATTTTTGATCTATGAAAGAACGTTTCAACGCTAGAACATTTACCCAAAGATGTCGTTAAGAAGAAACAAAAATCGCTACGACACAAGACGAAAACGCATCTGTGTAGAGAGTGTTTTGATTGGTTAKTTTATCGTTATCCATGTATATATTACACGCCATCAAATGGATGGAGATACTTATAGTGTATTGTTATGTAAATATATAAATATCTTAGTTTAATGAGCAACTCAGCGCATGCAGTCACAGATGGCCCGTTAACACCACAGGAAGCCCAAGCAWTTTTCCTTCTAAAATTGGTTAACTTTTATTTTATTTAACCTCACYATGCATTAAAAATGGGTTTCCAAAATCATTTAAAGTGCATAGTGAGGCTAAATAAAATAAAAGTTAACCAATTTTAGAAGGAAAATTTTATTTATAACTATTAAAGATTCCAAGTGATTGCTTGGGTTCCCTGTGTTTACACAGGCGATTTTGGCGGTGTTTTTGGCGTTTTTTTTAGACTTGTGAATAATATTCAAGAATTTACTTGAAAAGTTTTATTCAGTACACTGATGAGATGAGCAAACTAAACGACATCTCTTCACAAAGATAAGACGGAAATAGCCTAATATATTCTTGAAAATCACATAATCACTTAAAAAATCGCAACAATAATTGCATCAAAAATCATCAGTGCGATACGCCTCTTTCTCTCTCTCAACTATTGTAAATGTACATTATTTGATGGGAATAAAAACGTAATGGTGTTGGTTTGATGTAAGCCGTATTTCATTGTTTTTTCAACTTGGGGAATGCTTTCCCCACAATTTGTACATTCCTTTTTAGATTTTTACATGATTTGATCAGCTTCAAATTCTTCGATAGTCATCTGAACTAAACAAAACTTGGTGATAATATCAGTTTTGGTGTGCTCTTCAAGATGATATAGGTAACTTGGCGAGTTTTGCAAATTTAAAACTCGAACCCAGCCTCCTGCTCGGACATGAAAGCTGGTAGCACATACATGAACGAAGTCTATGAGCAATGATGGTGGCATGATATAGAAAAATGAAGACATGACTGACAAGCACAACTGTTTAAAATATTTATTCGCATTAAGAATAGCATAAAACACATTCCTTCAATGTAAAATAGATTTTGGTCTAAAATATATTTACATCCATGATTGCCATAGTTCTGGCAATGACCTTGTGAATGGCAAAGGAACCCCGAAAATAAATCCTTTGTCAACAGAACTGCTCGCTAGCTCGTAAACCGATAATCTCATGAAGASCATCTTCTATGGCAGGATCGAGTTCACCCTGAAGGAAAACAACATGTCGATCTAAGATTACAATGACGTTATAAAGACAAAAAAAAATTAAAATTGCTAGTCTAACCTGGTTCACACTACGCCCATAAGCATGAGATTAAGAAGACAAAAAGAAGACATTTGACTTTTTTTTGTTCTTTTGTCATGTCATGTTGTGCGACAAGGCATAATGGGAGTTGTAGTCCTTGCACTTTTCAAAGAACCTCAAAAAACTCCCTAATTAAAATCCGTTTCTACTAATGTTTTCTTTGTAGAAACCGCACAAATACTTCTATTTTTGCAAAGAAAATGAGACAAAGGCTTAGGAGGAATTTCGAGCGGACATGAAAAGTACGAGAACGACAACCACCATCTTGCTTCGCTGCGCAAAATGGCGTCGCTACACATCATAGATCCAATATTGATGCTTTAATTCTCGCGCTTGACTATTCCTTTGTCATTTCGTTTGTTACAGACTTGTGTTTGCATTTGCGTTGGTCGTCTGAACCAGGATTAAGCGACAATTGGCTCAATATGTTTACATGAAATAAACGTAATGGAAAGATAGAAAGAAACCTCCCAACTTAGAAGAATAAAGGACAGTTTACTACATAGTGCTAGGAGGTTATTCCTGGCGAAAAGACCCTTAAATTAATTTCCGACCTTGTTTGGAAATTTTCTGTACTCTCTAATGCTAGGCAGTCTACATAATCATATATAAATAAGTTTACTGCGCATTAGAGAGAGTTTACATAGCCCTTACTTAAAGTGCAACCGAACCCTTCATCATTCTTAACAAAAGGCAAATACGATGCTAATCATTGTTTTTTGAAGAAAAAAAAGTTTGTTTGAATTTAATTTTATGAGTTAAAAGCTCAACCAAGGAATGTGGTCGGAGGTTTTTCATTGTTTGCGATATCTTTGGTTGAGATGGTTAAATCATCAGTAACAGTTATGGAAATGTTATTTCCGATCTATAAATGTTTTTTAAAAGGGTTGCACCTTAAGTCTGTTATCAATTTTTGCTGTCTAAATATTCATTTACCTGTATTAAACTAATAAGATGGAGTCGATATAAATTGATCGTCTTATGATGCGATGATTCTTTTTCCTAAATAAACAAAGGAGTTAGTTAGCTTATTTCAACAATCAAAACCTATAAAACAATATAGAGATTGCTACTAATGTATGCCATTGTCTTAAACCGAGCCATTCCATACTTTTACAGGACTCCAAGGGTGGAACCAGGAGGGGGAGAGGAGGGGACCCAAAGCGGGGCTGTGGAGATTCCCATAGAGCATAAAAAATTGACTGTTTTTTAATTATTTTCAATGTTGTTTGTAATGTTCTTAGTTCCAGCGGAGAAGGCAGCTCGACGAGTACTCCTTAATTCTTGTTTGAGAGCCTTTAACTCCCGGTCTGGAAAGGTAACATATAAAACTTAGCCGCATCACTTAAAACTACTCAGCCACACCCTTGAAGGTTCAGCTGGATCCGGACTTGAAAATCTCTCTGCTAGATGCATTTTAGGGGGCTGACCTTTTGACTTTTGAGGGGGTGGAGGAAAAAAACATTTACTGCAGCACAAATGGAGTACAAAAATCCTACACTATAAAAAAAGAGAGGGAGAAATTATTCAATGAAGGGGAAAATATCCTCCAGGGAAAAAGACATTCTGTTCATCAAGTCGTAACATCAAAAACGTCTTACACAGGCTAAGTCATCTAGCCCCATCCCCCCCCCCCCCGACTAAACAGTTAAATGGTCAGCCTGTTACAAATAATTTTATCTGACAGCAATTCTGAATGAAAACCGAGCGTCCACATTACAATGTTCATTTACCTTTAATTTCTTTTTTAATCTTTTGACTTCTGATTCTAAATAACGCTTGTGGCTGGYATCGGGTGAAGTACTGTCACTACTCGTCTCTGCACACTTTTGACAATGCCTATTATTTTGAGCCTGTCACAAAGAGGGGCATGATGGGAYTATTCATTGCTGATTGACGTTTCAGAAATTTTCACAACATAATGAGCTATTTCGAGGTAATCTCACAAATCCTTTTGACCTTGTAAGTGAGTGATCATTATTTGATTGACGGCAATGGAGGATGAGAGATGGTGTAGGGGGTGTTCGCTTTAGATGAGAGAAAGAAGCAGAAGGAGAAGAAGAATATCCCCCTCAAAATTACTAGCCAGTGTACATCCGTTCCCACCCCTCCCCCGTTACGGGGAAAAGTAGGGGGGAGCGGTGGGGACGGATGTGCACAGGCTACTAAATTACCTTCTCTTCCAATTCTTCTTTTTCGAATTTTATTTCTTCAATTTGTTCTGATAATCTAAATATTTCTTCTTCCGAAGARTCCTGCGCAG